GGCCCCCCCCACAGTCCCGCCCCCCCCCCGCCCCTTCCTGGCGCCACTCCGGCCCTCTTTAACCCCCTCCCACCGGGCCCACCGCGCCTGGCGTAACCCCACCCACCGAATCGTCGGGGGACCTGATACCACTCCCCATAACCCCCCCGCCGCGACGCGCCCGCCCCGCTCCTTTCCCCGCCGAACCCCCCTGCCTACCCATCCCCCCAGCGCTCTACCCCCTTCGCCGCCCCCGCACCCTACTCTACTCCCTACGCCCTAGCGCCCCTCCGCTTTAGTAACCCCGCCACCCGACAAATCCAGCCAAACCCTTTCCCTCCCCCCACCAGCATGCCTTCCAGCCTGGCTCCCCCAACATCCCGCGGCTCCACTCGGAGCGCACCCTCCCGCCGCCCCAGAATCCCGTCAACGACGCCTCACATAGTCTCCACTCACGCACGCCTTGCTCCAGCCAATTCCCCCTACGACGAAGCCCCGCGCGCGGCGCCTACCACTCCGCCGGGCTCCATAACTGTCGCAACCCCGTCCTAGATCCCCGCCCGCGCCGCAGCGGCCCGTCCCCCTTCGCCATTAAACCCGCACCACCCTCCTGGCCCCGCCGCCACGGCCAACCTCTGCCCCAAGCCCCAAGGCATGGCCGGTGGTCGACTCAGGTTCGTGTGCTCGCAATAAGTGCGGCCGTCATCATCCCTCCCCGCTCCCCGCCACCCTCCGCCACGCCCGCCTTCCTTCCGCCCGTACTCTTCGTGGACACGGGACCTCCCCCGCCGCCCCCCCCGGAACGCCACGTTGGGCCACCACCCGCGACCTGACGCCCCCCGCATCCCCCGTTCCCCGCCCCCCCTAGCGGGCCTCCCTTCCCCCCCCCGCTTCCACTCCAGCCCCTCCCAGCGCCACACCCCCCACACCCGGGCAACACCGCGCCGCCCGGCACACACGAGAGCATAGCTCCAAGCAATCGGCACGTCGCTCCAGCTACAGCGACCCATCCCCCTCCTTGGCGGCCTCCTCCCCCCCGCGCGCCTCCGCACCCCGAACGTGCGTGTCCCCCCCCGACCTAGGGCATCCCCGGGCGACCCGCACCCCATCCCCCCCGCCTTGCTACGTACCCGCGCGTCCCTCCCGTCACGATAAGGGGGCCCAACCCCGCCCACCCGCCCCTCAGCCCGCCGCCCCCGCACGCCCCCCGTGCTGCGCCCCGCTACCCCCCCCGCGAATCCGCCTAGCCGCGGCCTGCCGCGGACAGTCGCACGCACTTACCGTCTTTCGCCCGCACCCGCAAGCATACCCCCGCACATCGTCATCCACCCAACCACCCGCTCATCTCCCCCTATGCGCCGCACTCACCCCCCTCCCGAGCAAACGCAGTGAACCACCACCGTCGCTCCGCCCTTCCCTACGCCCACCCAGCCCGCCGACGCTCCCCCTGATCCGCGAGCCATCGGCCCGGCCCGCGCCCTCAGCCGGCGTCCGGCTACATCCGCGCTCGACCGCCCCTCGCGGGTAGACCCGACGCCAATGACGCGGCGCGTCGTCCGTCCAGCTGGCGCGGGCCCCAGTCCTGCAGCGCGCGCCGCCCCCGGGTCCACGGGCCACACCCCCCAGAGCGCAATTGGGATGGAGGCTCGCCCACGAGGCCGACCATCACCCGGCGACCGCGTCCCCCGATGGCGGTCGGCACCGCCGCACTGCCGAGGACGGCCGACGCCCCACCCGCGCAGAGATCCCCCACGCGTCGTGATCATTGCCAGATCAATCCGCCCGCCCCCCTCCTTCCGCGCCCCTTGCACTTCGCATCCGCCGCCGGTCGCCATCCCCATGGGCCTTTCGTCACCGCACCTTCGGCCCACGTCGCCTTTTGCACCACGCTCGCCCGCCCCCGACCCCACTCCGTCCCTCGCGCACTCCCCCCCCTCCAACCCCAACGCTCCCTCCCGGCACCCCCGCACCCCCCCTGCCCCCTCCCCCCGGCCCCGCTCCGCAATCCCCCAGAGCACCGGGAAACGGCCCGTCGGCCACACCCCGCCGGCCCACCCCGCAACCCCGGGGATGCGCCCTCTAGAGCGCGCACCCCCGGAGACGCACGCCTCCGCTCGACTCCCCCACAAAACAAATAAATAAAAAAAAACGCGCACCATTCCCTGCCCTCTTCCTCCCCTGTCACCTCGCCCTCCGTCGCCAACCCCGCAGGCCTTGCGTTGGCTACGCAAGTCCACCGAAAATAGCTGTAGATTTCTTCGTGGCGAGAGTCGTCTCACCGTGGACAGGGTCACCATGGGGGGATTGACACCTCCCCGGTCTACTGTCGTGACGGCAAATTAATGAGACACCCTTACGGTCTTCCTTCTGATTAGCCAGTTTATTGTGGTCCGACGAGTAAACTCCTACAGCCCACTAATAATTCATTTCGGTACACACTGAACAATAATGACTAATTAATTGGGCTAGCCGGTCGGATGAGTGGATTGCGTGGTTGCCACCATAGTGATCAGAAGCATGTGGGTGGTTTGGTTCACTTCACCTACGAGCATGATGGGATGAGGGTAGATCAGAGTATACTGAGGGCATGAAGCCTTACTTATTGAATCTAAGGGTGGCCGCTTCGGTTGTTGCCAGTGTTGGTAGCTAACCGCTCGTGTGTGGCTTCTGGGTACGCGGCAGGTAGGATGGAGCGCTTCCTGATATTTGGTCAGTTCATTCTATTCTACTAAATGTGCAGGCACAAATCTTGCCACAGTTCTCATGCTTCTGATACACAACCCGTCTATATCTTGATCGAAACGAGGAGGAAGAAGTGAAAGGCATAGGAACCATGACGTTGAGTTTTTGATTTGGAACTGATCGTAATCTTGCTCCGTAGCATGCCTGCGCAATAGCTTCACAAACTTAGCCCGTTCCAATGAATGGTAACAATAGGTGGACCAGCTTCTTTCCTATCTCTCGATGAATTATGGCGCATGGAAACAGATCCCAAGGAGATAATCACAAAGATGATCGTATTACTTCGATTGATCTTTTTTTCCATACCTCCCTCGTTGCTTTGAATTTGATGGGACACTTAGCACCATTGGTTACTTCAATTATACCTTCTTATTGTACTACGGTTCGAATGGAACACAACATACCGGCTGATATTCTGAGCATTTATGGGATCCGATTGGCACAATTTACTAGGTACAGGCATCAGAATCTAATCGCTAACTCGAAGATGGTGAACTTTGTCGCTCCAGGGTGTCACCACTATACCGAAACTTCCAAATACTCATTGAAGGATTCTGTCTATCAGCCTTCCACTACGAGGCCCATGAAGTGAACTCAAGGATTGCCATCTTCGTTATTTATCTTAACCATGCTTTGTACTGACTTTTGTCGGACGCAAGCGCAAATGCGATGAAACAGACTCAGTTTTCTTACACTTGTTCTGTTCTTGTGAATTACAAGTCACAATATATTCCGCTGTTGCTTACCTGCACCTCACTCATTGTAGGTCAAACACACTGTACCTTGAAGCAAATTATCTTGGTTCTTCTACTCAAATACCTAATAACTAGTGTGTCTTGAGTGTCGATGCTTACCGCTAGTAACTGAGTCGAAAGCTAAACACTTATCTGTTTGCCAGCCAATACTTCCTCTTGTACGTATTCCGACTGACGAACGTTGGGTTATTGCTGAATTAACTAAACTGAACTCACTTCAATTTACTTCGTTCATTTGTGTTTTAGTGGGATTTAAAATTATCGCTTTGTTAGACCCACAGGATGGCAAATTTTAAAAAAAAAATTGTCAGGATCAAGACGCTGTGGCGTGAAACGTGAAATATCGGGATAATAGATTTGGCGCTGCATCACACTGCTATGTGGAGTGTATCATTTTGATATTGCCATGTTAGATTCGTTCACCACCGTCCAAAAAGCAGCGCGGTGCAGAAGAGTTGTGCATCACAGGACCCACGTCTAGCTTGCATAGTAGTTGCGCATAGAAAGTCAACTGTCATTTTGATTCGCCGTTCTGTTACGCACCTTCATGCACCGCATATCGGTCGCAGTTGATTTATACACGCCCTTCATCTGCAGTGATCTGTGATATTCCTGATTTCCTCACGCCTGCCAGTTATAATACATACTACTCGTTAATAGTGCACCACACCCTATGTGCTAGTAAACCATTCCAGCGTGAACAGATTTTAAGAGAGTAAAGGAAGTTGTTACAGCTCAAGCAGGGGGGCTGGGCTACTACTTTCATGTGGGGACCTCGGTATTGTTGGTAAGGGGTAAGGATCAGCAGGGATTTACTTAGATGAAAGGTTTCTGTTAGTATTCGATACGTGAGAATGAGAACTCCTCGAGACAATCTATATTCTGAGCGTTTCCTATATTTAAGACCAAATAGTCCACGTGTTACCTTGGTGGCTCGCTTTTGGGGCTGCTCCGATATACGAAAGTCATGCTTTAACCACAGAAACCAGGCTTGAACCGCATGCTAAGGTCAACTTGTTTACAAATAAGCATTTCACCTTCCTCGACCGTAAACGCGGCTAAATCTGAAACTGATCTTTCGTTTGGAGTACGTCCGTTGCCCGAAAGTGGAAAACACCAAAAGCATAACGGTCCAATTGTACAAACCAGAATTGTATTTTGAAAAAGGTTCAATTAGACGCTAGTATCACTTTGTTTCAAACGGACTGGTACCCACAGAATTGCGCTCAGGCCGCTGGAATTACCTAGATGTCAGCGATGTCAGCGACTAACAAAATGGAGAGTAGAATACCGACTTCCGTAGTGCATTCAATGCATTGGACCTACATAGAGTTACATATTTGTCATGGAAAGATCGAAGCCTATGTTCACCTGCATTGATTTCGCACCCTTCGACGGGATATTTTAACACTGGATAATCAGCTGTTTGAACATCTGTAGAGTACTTTTGAGAATATCTTTGAGATTTGCCAAAGTGATAAGCGAAAGTTCACAGATTTTGCTTAAGTTCTATTGTTTGCAGTGTTAGAAATCCTAGACATAAAGTGCGAATAATTGCTTGTCCCCGGTTAGAAAACATACTCCTGTTCCCGTAGGTTGGTTGTTCATGGTATTGTAAACGCAATGACCATCCTTGCGGCGAGAATAAAACGCGCATTAGTGCAGTGACGAAATGAGGACATAATAGGAACAATGTTGTGGAAATTGGGTAGTACAATGTAAAAGAGTGTAACAAGTTGTCAATTACTGGGGCCAATTGAAAGACATATCCACACCAATTGACCAGTGGTCCTACTAATGGTTCGTGCACTATACCGCATTGTGATTCCCGCCACTCCTCGCAATTCCAAGTCCGCTCAGTGTGCGTGCAAGTTATATTTGATTGACTGAGTGTACCGCTTTACTCGGTGATCATCTAACATTCACTCGCTAGTTGGCATGGCGAAATCACAAGGTTAGTGTTTTTAACCAAGGTGGCCGCAACCAGACTCAGTCGGACAAGCGGTACCGCGTCATTTCATTCTATGATCGCCCCGCTCCTTGGGATGTCCCATTGGATCCACCCTCTCGCTCAGAAGTCGAACGTGAGATCGCACCGTTGAAGTTAAATAAACCCGCGGTACCAGATGATCTACTTCCAGCACTCTTCAAATTAGGGGGACCTGCTCTTGTGGATGATTTATACCAGTTACTAGTGAAACTGTGGGAGCAGAAATCTGTCCCAACCGACTGGAGCCACTCCGTCATAGTCCCAATTTTCAAGCGAGGCTCACGATCGGAATGCGGCAACCATAGAGGAATCAGTCTGATCACCATCGCCTCCAAATTGCTTGCTTCACAGACTGACTGGCACTCGTGAAAGTCAGATTCGTGAAGAGCAAGCTGGATTTCTTCGAGGTCGAGGCTGCATTGACCACATCTTTACCTTGCGTCAGTTGTTGGAGCACCGTCACAAATAATGGCAGCCCACCGTTGTCGTGTTCCTCGATATCAATGGTGCATTTGATTCGGTGGATAGGTGTGCACTTTGGGACTGTCTACTCAGGAAAGGTGTACCTGAGAAATATGTAAATATTATCCGATCATTATATGCGCGTAGCTCAAACAGAGTGATGGCTTACGGCAAGCTGTCGTCTCCCTTCACTATCTCCAGCGGTGCGAGACAAGAATGCCCGCTGTCACCCTTCCTCTTCAACTTCGCTATTGATGAAGTCATGGAAATCGCGTTCACAAGACACGAATTAGAAGGTGTGGATCTGCTCCCAGGAGAACGACTTCTTGACTTGGAGTATGCTGACGATATTGCCCTCATCTGTGACAGCTCCCAGACGTGCCAAGCGGCACTGGACAGATTAGCACTGGCTGTCAACCGCTTCGGGCTTTGCTTTGCACCATCGAAGTGCAAAGCTTTCCTCCAAGATTGGCCTGGACCGCCTCCTTCGCTGACCCTTGGTGGGATCAGCTAGAAGTCGTTCAAAAATTCAACTACCTGGGAAGTTGTATCAGCGCCCTTGGGATCGAAGATGAGATCACGAACCGTATAGCAAAAGCTCGAGGCGCTTTTGCTAACCTTCGTCACTTATGGCGCCGGCGCGACATCACTCTCGCCTGAAGGGTAGAGTGTACAATGCAGCGGTACGTTCGACCCTACTGTACGGTTGTGAAACCTGGCCCCTTAGATCAGCGGAAATAAAGAGGCTAGTTACGTTCGACCACCGGTGCCTTCGCAATCTAGCTTACATCTGGTGGGAACACTGCGTGAGCAACTAGCGTGTTTGACACCTTGTTAACGGCACAGGAAATGAACCGCGCAGCACCGTTGTTTCACACACCAAACTCCGATGGCTCGGCCACGTGTTACGCATGCCAACTCACCGACTCCCGCGACGTGCGTTGCTTGCGCGCCGGGTGTGTGGATGAAAGAAGAGGAGAGGTGACCAAACGATGACCTGGTCGAGAGGAATGACGGTCCTCACTTTGAAGCTAGCCTCAGTTGGAGCGTCTCGGCTCTCTGGTTGGAGTCCGAAAGACGATGAACACGTTTGGCTGGATACACTTGCTGATATGGCTAGGGCCCGACCTCAATGGCGTTTGTGCTGTGAGTTACTTCGTCCCACCCCAACCGTTTTAGCCTCCCCTCC